CGCAAGAACCCGCCTTAAAGCATCCCGGCAGTGCCGAGGACCTTCAGCTCCCGAGGAAATTCCGCCCTCTCGTCTCTGTTAACCCAACCCTCCCCTCCGGGAATACGAACTCCCAGTATCCAGGAAAAGCCTTTAATAAACCGTCAAAATAAATCACAAAACCTCTTCCGTGGGGTCAGTGCTTGAGGCGACGTGACCTGGCGTCACCGGGAGGGCCTGAAGCAGGCGGTCGATTCTTTTTGAAGTTATTTTGGGGGTGTTTTCTTGGTTTTTCCCCCGGCTGCCCAATTGTTTGCTGGAAAGAACGGACCGAGGAGGGATAAATAATAAATTAGAATGTTCTATGGACTTTCAACCTTTCGGTCCTAAAGTCGCCTTGAACCCCTTTCCGGCCTCGGCCACGGGGGGAGGATTCACGCGGCCAAGGGCAGATGATCTGCTGCGGGGAAAGTACAATTGCTGCCTCTGTAAATGGGAAGGCGCCCCGCACGCGCTGCTTGTCCCTAAATTGCAACCAGAGCAAGGGGGTGAAGCCACCGTGGACGTGGGAGCGCGGCCTTTAGCTCACGGGGAGGGGGGACGGACGGTTTGGAGACCCCGTGGGATGCTCCATAAAGGGCTGACGCCTCCCCGGCGCATCCCGCGGCGCACCCTCAGCCAAAACCCGCCTCTGGCAGGTGGGAGAGGGTTTCCCTTGGTTCGCTACCCGTTAATTAACCGTCGCCACGGAAGGGGTGTAATTATGAGGGCTTTTCCTCGTGCATGGGGTGAAGGTCTCGCTGCAGCGTCTTGCTACGCTGACGAATGCGCCGATCAACGCGTTGACAGGAGTTACGGGGTCTGAAAGAGCCTCCTCGGGGAATTAAACCTGCCTCATCCGTGGCGGAATAAAGGTATTTGTTGCTCCGGGAGAGTTTATGACGCTGCGTCACGGCTGTGAGGCCCAAGGGGATCGATCCGCCGCGTCGGCGCGGACTTTTTGGAACCGGGATGGGAGACCCGGCGGTGGAACGCGTCGGGAGCGGGAGGCCAAAGCTCCTCCGTCCGGAGAAATCGGCTACGGGCGACTGGGAGGTGCTGTTGAATTCGGTGTTAAATGTCACACCCCCGTCCCCGTCCTCGCTTCCCGGGGTGGGGGCTCTTCCCACATCCCGGCTACCCGTG